TGTTTTTTTGTTGTTGTTTTTTTTGTGCGTGTGTTATGTTTTTATGGCCTTTTCAAGACTAATGCTCGAGCCCGAAGACTGTAGACGGACGTTAAAGCATATCCATATTTAATAATCCGTCTTGAAAAGGTTCTAAAAATTGACCAAAATAAAACTCGACTACACAGACATGTTGAACATGTAGCGCCTTGCCCCGTCTCAGAACGCAGCGGGTAGAGGAAAAACATTTCGAGAAGGTATTGTCGTGCTTCACTCGATTTGAGCGGAATACGTTACGGTGTAGATGGTGTTGTATTTGTCGTTACAACAGGAATAATAACAATAAATTATAATACATAGCATTTGTATAGCACAATTTCCCTCTCAACAGCAAGCTCTATGGGCTTTGAAATGTATATTTTTTATCGTAGAGATGAGTGCACATTCTCAGCCCGCACGCACAAAGCATGCGTTCAAACACTGAATCATCTATTCCCTCTAGGCAAGTTCTTTGGAATATACATTTTGAAATAATTCGGCTAATGTAGTCATCGTAAAGACACTTTTGAGCAGCGAAAATCGCAACTAGCATTACGAAATGAAATATTTACGTACAAACGAAGTATATTGTTCATCACGGTTAAATTGCATCTTGTGCTCTTTCAGGAGAAAACTTTACCATCTAAAATGACACAGACTTAAAGTCTCTTTAACCGATAATATTGACGCAAACTAGTACACATGCTGACCAGACGAGCAGTATTCACATAATGCGTCAACAGTGATATCAGGCACATTTAATGTTTTAGTGTGCCCTTAAATTGTTAAAAGTGTTGTGAAGTCCGAGGGAAACATTCCCTGATATAGATTGTAAACCGCATAGAGTTTGCTGGTATCCCAGGATTCTGCGCTAGGCAAATGTAATTCATAACCATCATCATCATCATCATCATCATCATCATCATAAGCATCATCATCATAAGCATCATCATCATCGTCATCATCGTCATCATCGTCATCATCATCATTAAACAGAGCACCCAGACATGGTTCTATTTTTTATTCTTGTTTTTTTTTGTTTTTTTTTTTGGAGCCTATGAGAATATCATTTATTGCTTTTTATTACCTACTAAACTTTCGGGAGTATTTGCAAATATATACGAAAATAAACTTTTCATTGCCAAAACATAAAATTAGGAATGGTATTACCGAATATCCATTTCGTATTGCCAAATGATTACAACCAGCTAGGGTGAATAAAATCAGGATGCCAATAATAAGGGCCAGTATGCTTTGTGAGCCAATGGAATTACGTGTCACTGGGGCGAAAAGACACCACGAACTGACACTACTTGTAAAAACTATAATAATGAATAAGGACGACTGAAATCTGGCTAAATGTGCGGGTGCTTGGCAGGTGCTCTTGCGTGGTTTGCTCCTTCTTTTCTACTAGACATATTATGTCGTCCTTATCTCTCCTCCTTTTGTTGGTATCCATACATCTACGTATCTAATACAACTCTCACTGTAGTAACACCTCTGATCTTCGGCACTTACATATAATTAGTATGCCTTCATTGTGTTGCAAGTGCCGTAAAACTCTTACTTAAACGAAGCCCCTGGCTAAAAATAGAATCATTGCTCACTCTCAATACGTGACCTGCCATTGTGGAATAAGGGCGCGGTCGGTCTGCTCACGCCTGTGTGTAAGCTAATCCCAGGGTCACGCGTGCGAAGCAGAACACGAGTCAAGTAAGGTACACACTAGTCCCGTTTTACAGAATCCAAACTAAGTCGGCAACCGGCTGACCTGGCAAAATGTTTCTTGTTGAAGTCAAATTATAATAATGATTATTATCATCATCATCATATTGTCATTACTGTTATGGTTATTATTATAATGATGACAATAATAAAAACAACGATTATGACAATAATAACAACAACAACAACAATCATCATCACCATCATCATCATTATCCTCATCATCATCCTCACCATCATCACGATCAAGATCACTTGAGCCTTAATTCTTCCCATGGTAGAAGGGGGCGCTGCATTGCTGAAAGCTGCACGGGTTGTCTCTACCTTTGACGGTCATGGGAAAGAGTTTAGATTAGATAATATGTGACATTTATTTCGCACCCAATCCCCCCAGTAAACAACAAAAGTCGAGTAAGGAACACTAGTCCCATAAGACAGAATTCAAATAAAGTTGACGACCAGTCGCCCTGGAAATATTTTTCGGAGTTGAAATCAACAATTTGAATCGCACCAGATTCGATGTTTTTATAATATCAAGGGCGTTATTGGCTTTCCTTTTCCTTTTAATTGCTCAGCATGACAAGATTCCTACCAGGAACAAAATGAACAAACGAGGAATAATCTCAGGAGCTGAGCACTTTGTGGGGGGGGGGGGTCACAAAATCTCTATACACATAAATAAGTCAGTCGTTGCAACACAGGAAAGCCAGGCAAACATTACACACCGTGGGTTTTATTCTCGGATAGTATGAGTCAATTTATCAGCACAGTCCATGGGATATTAAATATTCGCATGCAAGATGTTCCACCCGCGCCACTGAAACCCTTAAGTTTCTCGTTGCTCGAAACGAAAGTTGTTTTTAGACTTTTCTTTCGTCTACTGCTTGTGTACAAAGTACGTTATTCCCTTCAAAGAGAAAAAACACGTACGATATTAAAATCACAATAGGTACTATCAGGACGGGTTTTTTTCTAACGTTTTTGGTTGCTGTTGTTGTTGTCGTTGTTCTTGTTGTTGTTGTTGTTGTTGTTGTTGTTTTGTTGCTGTTGTTTGCTTGTCTAAACCAGAGGAAAGAAATGATCTTTAAACATACGATGTTTAGCCTTCAAATCCACCTCAAGGGTTCTGTCTGAGCTTTATCCTCACACAAACGAAAACACAAAAATAGGAATCAAAGGTCTCTGTCAAAAGTTTTACTTAAGTCCCATCATTCGCATCTGACGACTCTATTTGTCTTTAGGTTAAGTAAGAGTTTTGGATCACTTGCAGCACAAATAAGGTCATATAAGTGCCGAAGATTAGAGGTGTTACTAGAGAGTAAAATACCAACACCCCCGCCCCCGAAAAGGAATTTTAAAAAAGGAACAAAAAACAAAAACAAAAAACAAAAACAAGGAGGTGACATAGGGGCGATAGTTGATAGAGGCAAAAACGTAGCAAACCCCATCTGAGCACCCGCCAACCCCCCACTCACATCATTCAGATCCGACGCGCCGGACAAGTGTGAACCGAGTTAACGTTACGGTCGCGGATCGTTACCATGTCGTCATGCCGCGCGTAGCGGGTGGTGTATGGGTGCGCAGTGATTCACGGAGTCGAGAGTAGGGTGGTCTGTTCCACTGGGGATTCCCAAATAATGGTACACATGGCGCAATCCGATGCTGATTCACTATAATATGGTGCGTGCAAAGGCTAATACCCCAAATCGTTGCACTCGATGTCGTTCTGTGAACATACGTTCACGCATAAACTGCCAAATCTCCGTGTTACTATCTTGACTCAGAGCTTACCGAGTCTCGTGCG